ATATATATATAGTATATCATTAATTTGCGCTTTCAGTCACTTTGTCCGAGTGATGATAATAACTAATAATAATAAATTTGCACTACGCATACTAAACATAAATTGCACAATTTCATGTGCAAGAATAATTACTTGTATATCCAGCATATTACATATTCAATTCATATCCAATCTGATGTAAATGGATATAGGAAGGGCTGATTGTCCTTAAGGCTCCCCATGGTTACAACTCTAGTATCCTTTGACATTTTGATATATGATATGATCTTGTAATTTAATATAATAGACAATTTATTTTGTATTTATATTATACAGTATATGTTTCATGATTAGTGTCATATCTGTAGGATGTCCTCCAGGGGGAGTTTTTAAATCCGAATTATAGCCCCCAGTAGTACTTGTGTAAATAATACAAACATACATAATTCTGTTTAAGAAAACAATGAATATTAAAATCGATGCATTGAAATTAAATTTAAATACCAGTGTGTTCACATTTTGTTTTCCTTTGATTATTTTATATTTTGTTTTATAATTTTATGATCAATCTTCTCATTTGTTTGTTTTTGCTTTCAGTTTTCCTTAAATTCTTCAACTTGTAGAAATTAACGGTATGTGATGAAATGTAGTTTTGGTCAGCATTTCAGAAAATTACTCTTTATTTTTGGCTGGAAAATTAGAGACAAATGACTCATTTGTGGATATGATTAGTGTAACATTGTGAGTCATATTTGTCAAATGCTTCGTCACAAAACTGTTAAACTATTGAATGCACATTTGTGGTACATATTTTCATTGAAAACGGGATTTTAAATATTAAATATTAAATATTTGACTTTAAATTTTAGCTACTGAAGTTACTTCCTTGTTTATACTAGGCATGTTCTGTCGTCTGAAATCTTTCAATTATTATTTCAATTAAATAGTTTCAATTATTATTTTAAATAGTAGTTTTAGAGAAACATTTTTGTATGTGTTGATTTGTACTTCACTTGGTGTTGTTGCTTGAAGCATGCCGTAGGATAGAATTTTCTTGGCACAAGTTCAACTGATTGCCGTAACATCATAAGTCCCATGCTCAGAACTGTTGCATGATGGGAGGTATGAAACTTATGAGATTTACATAGGAACATATTTTAATACAGTGACCTGCAGCTGATGTTGTATAACTGTGTTATTAGACAAATAAATGATTAACGTAGGTTCAAGATTTCATCAGTGTACTCAAATTTCATGACAATATACTATAAGCCAAAATCATAGATTAATTTGGGTTTTGATTATTAAGTGGAATAAGTATTCCATATCAAAGGATAAATCATATTATTAGCAAGCTAGGATCGTTCTATCTCTATAATCCCTTCTCAGATTATTTTTTTTTTGTTTGAGCCATAGGGCCAACTAAATGCAGTTGTTCCAATGTGCAATAGTTATAACAAATAACATAAAATTAGGTATGGAGCAGGGGTGTAGGCTGTGTTCGGTAGAGGGATAGGGGTGGGGTGCAGAAAATGAAATGCGGAACTAAATCCATAACAAAATCCCAATGAAAACTTAATGGTCAGTTTTAGTATGTTAACCCACTTAATGAACTAATCGGCTGCCATGGGTCAATGCGTCTGCACCCGCCCTCCCCAGCCTAAGCCCATGTGGAGTACAGTATGGTAATCTATCCACTATTCAAGAGATTATACCATGGCCTCATAGGTGAATGTGCTGAACATCTCTGTGGTAACCAGCTGAGGGTCATTAGCTGGAATTCCAGCGCAGATGAAATACCCTGTACTTTATTTCTAAAACCTTTTAATATCTTAAAACATTCCTAATGAAGGGTTATTCGCTACCTAATTTAAGAATAACAATAATGCAGTAATCAAAATTATTTCAGAATGAATGTTCCAGATTTAACCAAAGCTGCTCAAATATTATGGGATTGAGGTTGTACTCAGTTTCATAGCCAATCACAAGAATTAGGAGTGCAGGATAAGCATGTTTAAAAAGGTCAATAGAGATAATTTGAGGACCGTACTGTCCTCTGTAAGAGTTAAATGTTATCAATCAGGTTTATTTTTATCCCAGATATCAGCACATTGATGATGATTGCTTCCTCCTGGTTAACAGTATTAATCCTCCTTAAAGAACTTCATTTTTTTGCTACTTGTGCTTGTCATATTATCTGACTTTGTTACCATGAATCAGAAAATTCTGAAAATTGGAGACCTTTTGCCTTGGGCATGACTGCACATTATGGTCATATTTAAAGGACATATGATACATTATTTTTCATAATTTGTTTATAAGGCCTGAAAAAATTGTTTGCCCTCCAGAGCCCGCCCCTAGCTCACGGAAAAATAGGGGCAGTGTTTTTAAAAATATTTTTTTTAATTTTTCAATTTTTTGTTCATAATTTTAGAAAGTGATCTTTATTTTTTCTCCATTTTGCACATGAAAATTGTCTAAATTTGGTGTCTGATGTAAGGTATCGTCATTCTAGGCCTAAATTCATTGCAAAATATCGATTATGGGTTATTTTTATTCAGTCTGATGACCCTTTGAAAAACAAATAATGAGTCCGGCTTATTTGCAGGCATTGCGATTTAATATGTTAATTTTGGTGACAGGAGAAAAAAAAAATATTTAGGCCCGCCCCTGCAATACAATTTTCAGGATTAAAGGGCAAACAAACAGTTTATTTTTTTAGGCCTAATTATTATATAATAATTTACATCTATAATATACATAGGTAATCCAATAGGGATATTAAGTGAACTTATAGCATATTTTCACTTTAGACAACACAACATTAAAGTTCTTTTTACAGATTGATCACAATAAATTATCAGTGATGTTTTTTATAGTATATTAATATATTTGTTTGTATAGTATGTCTATTGGTAGTTACGAATATGATTGAAAATTGCACTTATAGTAAGATTTCTGTGGATTACATTTTTGAAAATCAAACATTTAGGTTAAATGGGTAATATATATTTTGTCATCAAGGGATAAGATTGATACATTCTGGACAATTTCTTATTCTAAACACAATCAGTATATGTGACTAGCTCTAGCAAAATCAGCCATTTGTCAGAAAAATTCAAAATTAAGTGTTTGGTCTTGTTAGATCCTGCATGAAGTTTTCTTTATGGCAGTGTTTATTTGATGGAAATTGGTTGAGTATTAGGAAAGTTATGAATATTTAATTCATTGGATATCTGCCCATGTAGGTTTTGAGAGAACAACTTCCAAAGATTCCAAAATCTATAGTTTATTATTAGGACTTGCATTTCTAAAATATTTTTAATATCATTTTCAGTTAGATGTAGTGATTGATATTTTGCAGAAATGTTTTTCAACATATTTGCTTTTATAAAATTTCAAAAACCTGATTCTTGAATGTTTTGGGTACTTGGTGAGAAATTAGAAATTGCAACAAATGGTAGGTTTCTGCCAGAGCAGGTCACATATGCTGATGAATGTCTTATAGTGAGGAAAATAAATAGCATAGATTATGTAATGTATCTCATGATTGATCCAGACATTTCCCAATTCAATCAGGAGTCCTCAAAGTTTTTATGCAATATCCTGGTCTTTAAATAAATAATGAAAATATATTTCAAAGTGTTGTGTGGTATTGTTTTTTAAAGATATTTATTAATAAAAGTATAAGGTTTGAATATTAAAACAATTAAATGTTTCATTTTAATATTTTCTTTACAGATTCCAGCAAGTTACCCATCAGCCAACCCAGAACAGATTTTACCATTATCCCCAACCAAGTCAGAAAGTCCCAAGGCCCAGAGGAAAACTAACCAACAGCAGCAGCAACCCCTGTCTCCAGAGAACAAGCTACCTAAACCAGTTAAGGTCTCCCCAACAGAAGCACTGGTCAAACCAAGCCTGCTACAAGCACCAGCAGCTGGCAAACCAAGACAGATTCAGGCCCCACGACAACTTTATCCAGCAGGGAAACAGACTCCAGAACAGACCAAGGACCAACTACCAAGGCCTGTCTCCAATAAGTCCCCTGTCGACAGTACCGCCACCTTGGAATCACCAGTTTCGGCAACAGAGACGAACAAACCTAAATCTAAGCTGCCACAATCGCGACTTCCAAAGAGTAGCACCCTCTCGAAATTGGGAGCACATCCAGCGCCGCGTAATGGAAACCAGGCAAAATCTGACGAAGACATTAACGCAACTCAGAAGAGTGGATCGTGCAACCAACTGCAGTCTCTTGCGGCATCAAATTCAAAATCAAAACTTGTCGCCCCGTCAAAAGTGGTCGTAAACAAGGAGGAAAACAGTAATAAAATTGAGAAGCGATATTCAGATCAAACACTTGAGCAAAGGTTTTCACCTAAACAATCGGACTCTTTTAAAGCCAATGAGCAACCGATGATCAAACAGAAATCAAAGTCGAAGCTGGTAGCTCCTGGATTCACCAGCAAAGTCTTAAAGAGCTCTTCTACCGAGAATATCACATCACAGAACGGTAGCCACGATAACTTACAAAATGGAGTACGGAGTAATTCGCAGTCCAAACCACTTCAAAAGCGAAATCAATCTGAGGAGGATCTTGTTGAAAACGATGCCAAAAAACAAGCACTTAAAACTGGTATTAAGAAACCAACTTCCCCGAAGAACGAGCGACCGCTTAGCGGAGGAATGGAAGGTGTTTGTCGGATACCTGCTCCAAAATCAAGGATTGCACGAAGCACGGGAATACCATCAAGAAAAACGCCAAACCAACCTTAGTCATCACACAACATAGCCTGCATCTTCAAAATGTGCATACTGTACATAAAATCAACAAAGTAATAATTTCTGCTGGAGATTTTTTTTTATTATATAATTTTTTTAAAATTTTATGCAGTACTTTTAACAAATTGCAATTTCTAGGCCAGGTAATGAAAAAAAACCCCCATTTATATTCATAATTTTGAAGGATTTAATAATTGTATCATGTTTTTGTCAGAATTCCAAAATCAATGCCCATATGGTTTGATTTTATGTTCTCAATTTGAACTGAATTTTCTTTTTCCTTTAAGTCACTAAAGCTGTTGATATCAAAGTAATTTTCTGTCTGTCCAAACAAAAATATTCCTTCTTACTGAGATAACAAGGCTAGATAATTAATTTATTAACCCATGTTTGTGATCGTTTGGTATATTCTAATTGCAATTACTGTACCATAATAATAATGATGATGATTATGTAAGTAAATATATTGGTATTTTAAGGTGCGACGTCATGCCGGATATAACAATTTCTGATGCAAATTTGGAATTATTGAATTGAAGACAAATTAAATTCTTGAAACAAGTACATCGGAAACAAAATATATAAACAAAAGCATAGTATAATATAAATGGTATTACAGTCAAAATTTTAATTGTCATGAAAATCAACTTTCATGAAAAAAAAAAGCATTGTAAGGATTAAAAAGTAATTTTCTTTAATATTCATCATAATTAGAATACTGTAATAAAGCATTTATAGTGCACCATCAAGAGATATATATTTCCTGGTAGGTAAGTGTATATTACACATAACAAAAGTGTAATACATTAAAAAATCTGCTTATGCAATGCAAGTCAATGTAATCTGCTTTACACCACTGAATGTGTTTGGTAAGTTTAAGGTACTTGGCCTATGGCTTTTGTCGCCTCTGAGACTACGGTAATCCATAACTCTAAGATGATTGTCAGCGAAGATTCACACCTTTTTACCTAGTGGAAGTCAAGATCCATTTATTGAAAAATTAATTAGTTATTTAATTAACAGAAAAGTACAAAAATGTTTTGGTAACTGATAATGTTTAACATAATTTACGAAAAATATATTATGTAATATATTTAAGCAATTGTAGTTTGAAGGGAAATTTTAAACCTTTGTTTAAATATTAGTCTCAACTGAGGTGATGAACGTATCTGTTCATCGTACCTTAGATCTTTTCTTAGATATCCAATTGGAATTGAGATAGAAAAAAATATTTTATAAGAGGGACTTAAACTGATCTTACGGCTGACTTGCATAATTAAGGATTAAATGTAGCGAAGACAAACCAAACCAGTCACTGATCTTCCCAAATGGTGTTTTTGAGATAATGGTCAAAAAAAAGTTGGAATGTCAAGATTTTCGAAATCCATTTTATTACACTAAACTAAACTTTTTATATCTATACATCATGCTATGTTATTTTCCCCATTTTCGATGTTAAAACATTTTTTTTTTTTACGATTCGTTGATGTTCTGTGCCTGAGAAATGGCTGAAATTGTAAAGTTTGAAGGCTGATTCCTCAAATACTTTTCCTAAAACAGCTGTAACTTCAAAACGAAATGTTGGATTTAAATGATTCCTTTACCATTTTATAACTTTCGTTTTACTGCTTAACTCTGTATTTGTAACAAAAAATCAATTGTTGCAAGGAGGGACTGGTTTGGCTTGTCTGCCACAATTATATTGTCATACCTTGATTATATACCATAGTTGCTTCGGTGCAAGCCCACAATATGATCAAACACTACTACATTGGATGAGTTAGGCTCTATACTCAAGGGCAGGATAATGCAAATGATAGTGAGATTACAGGTCTGGCCTAGGGCTTACAAAGAAGCTTATGAAGGCCTCATTACTGCAAAAGCTCATGGCATTACCATTTTAATTTTTACATGGTTCATCTAATTTTATGATGGTTAACTGAGGAAGAATTTTCATTCCAAACCTCTGAAGTTCAAAGGTTGGTCAGCTTGTAACTCCATGGAGAGAACACATTTTTCACGAAAAGTACTAAATGTTTGGGATGTGCATATACTTGAGTTTGATTTATTCCTGACGCACTAAAATAGTAGATTTACTGAAATTTTTTTTTTTTACTCTGCTATACAGTAATTAATGTGCTGGTGACTAAATTAATATTTTATTTTATGAATCTACAGTGAAAGTACCATACCATGTGGTGGTTAAATATTGAAAAACAGTGTCCAGTGTTTTTATGTAGATATTCTTGTTTTTCTTGCCTATGGCTTAGGTAGAAATTTTATTTCTGTCATAGGCATATGCATATTATTTTCAAAATAAAGCAAATTTGAACACATATTCCCCTATAAATCATAAATTTCACAAATAATATATTCAGTTTATTTCTGTATTCTTCACTACAGTGTAATAAGTTTTCCAAACATTTGATGTGAGGTTGAACAAGAGATAATCCTAGCAAAACATTTTTGAAGGTTGATAGACCTATTGTCATTTTTTGAGACAAGTTTGATAATGATATGCTTAGGTGGAGATCTTCCTAAGATGAATGATTGATAGATTGATTGATTGATTGAATGAATGAATAATTGATGGATTGTTTGATTAATGGATTGATTTAATGATAACTTTTGTTAAATTTGGATTCATCATTATATTTTAAATTTTGTTCACCATTGTTACAGAAAATAATCTATCCAAAAACGACATATCAACCTCCACTTTTCTCTACTTATTGTTAAGCTTATTTACCACATATTGAGTTACAATAAGAATGTTACAGCGAGTACTCAAAATAGAAAACTGTTAGACCTTCCATCGGAAAGATTCCCCTTTATTTGAATGTTATGTGTATTGTAGCACTACCACTGTCTGGGTGCAACCTAAGTGTTACAATAACTTAATAAGAAAAGGACATTGATATACAGTGTACCCTCCAAATCGAGACCCCCGCTAATTCCAAGACCCCTCTAAGTCAAGATCATGTTTTCAAAGAACTAGATGGCAATCCTCAATTTTGCAACACAAAGCTAACCCTCTAATTGGAGACCAAACAATGCGGCCACCGCAAATGTCGGGTCCCAAAGGTGGTCTCGAGTTGGATGATGGAACTGCAGTGACAGTTGCCGATTTTCAAGTGAATTAAACATTCATTCTCTGCTTTGTAATTATGTAATTTTGATAAGCATTCCATTATTTAATATTAAGATGATATGTTTGTTTATATTGAAAGGTGCAATTCATTTTAAAGCTTGTTTTCATTTTGCTAATCATGATTGATAACAGGGTCGTTACTGCCGTTTCATAGATGCTAATTTGTAGTGCTTCTTTACGTCTTCTAAAACGATGACAGGTGGACAGGTCAGTTGATTGAAATAATAATAAAATAATAGGTTGACTTATAAAGCAGAAAATCCAGTTGAAAATCAATGGCGCTTGCCAGGCCAAATCAGCATCGGTGACCAAAAAAAGAAAATTGACTTTTTATGAGCTTTAAAATTGACTTAATATTGCCAAAGTTATGAGTAAAAGTATTACAGCTTCTCTGTACTAAAGTGTACAATACTGCCACATTCTTATGCTAATTTTACTCAGTTTAACAATTAGCAAAAATATGCTGGTTTTGTGATGGCAACCCTCAATTTTTGGCTGCTGGATTGTATTTGATACAGTCAAGGTTTTTTTTTTTTTGTTTTTTTTTTTGCAATTTTCTATCTTAATTATTGTATGTACAGAGTTTAACACACCGTGTAATTACTGTCAGTTTTCAATTTTATAGAAGCTTTTCATTATGTTTTCCGGGATACAGATATTTTGCATATTTCCCCCTCTCAACTTTTTGGTACAGAAATTATTTCCCTCTATCCTTTTTCCATTATCCGGATTATAAACTATAACATGTTTGATTAATGGCAACATTATATTGTTAGAAAGATGATTAAGTAATATTCAACAAAATTTGTGAAAAAACTGCATTAATCTGGCAATTTTTTTCTATTCAGCCAGCAGACGATTTTAACCAAATTATAAATAATTCAAAATTGAATTAATATTGTAAATTGCAAGAATTGTTGGTATTGTGAGTAATATTTTATCAAGTTGTGAAAAAAAATTGTATGTTTATACTCAGTGATATAAAAAAAAAACACTTTCTGAAATAAATTTGTGAACAAATCAATATATAATATAAAAGAGCAACCCTTTAATATTTTTAAACATTGGTTCACTGCTAACAATATTTTGTACCAGTACCATATATGATTTTTGTCTGATATGGTTATGTTATATTTTCCTAGACAAACTGTTAACAAAATTGTGCAAAATTTAGAATGTGAACAAATATTGACTTCAGTATTTGATTAGGTGACAAGCAATGCTGTATTGAAACATATTAGGTATACGGTAGTTTAAATTGTCATTAAGTAACAATCTGTCCTTCATAATTTTAATTCCTGTTAAAAATCAGTGTTTAATTCATGATTTATGTTGCTAGCATTCTTGAAATGATGTCTAAGGGACAATCCTCCTTTTAACTATATTATTCCTTGATGTGGTGCAAAATGTAGACATTTAATAAACAACCTGCAGAAGCCAGTGCAACAAGTGAACTATTCATAATGTTGGGCACACATTGCAACAGACAATTGCTACAGCGTGTGCAGCGGTTCGTTGTTATTGACGATCCGTTCAGATTGCCACCGACAGTCAGCAGACGGAAGCTGAGTTGGATTCGTTGTACAACCGTTGTGCATAGTGGTGGAGCCAGCAGCCCCCACCAGACTGGTCAAGCCCTCCACCAGACTGGTCAAGCCCCCCTCAATAGGACAGAGCTCGTCGGGCAGTCAGACTGGCCATCTAGGGGTTGCTATTCTTTAAAAAAATCTCATTTGGAAGGGGATCCCCCTCAAACC